AAAGAGCTGGCTTTGTCAGGAACCCCTGAAGAAAATCAAAAAGGGCATAAAAAAACAGAAAAAATATATATTAGCAATAATTCGAAACATACATTTTTTTATTGCAGCTCGCAATCATTTAATCATCTGGAGTCATCACTTCGCTCTGGCCAGAATGTGATGGGGTGGGTCGGGAACTGGGCGATAGACTGCGATGGGGTGGTGTCGAGTGTAGAGTGGTGCGGCGTTCCCTATCAAAGGAGCCAGAGAACAGCCAGTGGGAATAGCACATTTTGTCGCGCTTCCCCATCGACCATTTGACACATGTGTCACTTGCAACCGTTCCGCTTGCCGGCGAAGTGAAAGTGCTGCCAAATCGGCAGTTTTCGAGATAAATCTAGACTTTAAAGCATAATATAAAAAGCGTTTTTTCATTTTAAAATTTTTGTTTTCTTATGAAATTAAGTTTCTTTATTTGATGGGATATACTTTAAAATAATTTGTATACTTAAGCCTGACTTAAAAGTATAGTTGATGGCCTTTTAAAATATAAATGTTTTCCATTGCGATTGTCTTTATTTCCGCTATTATTCCAATAGTTCTTTTTTAAATTCCGGGTAAACTATCAAAGCAAACATCTTTAAAAAACATGTTGTTTTACATATGAAATGTTTTTCTTAAGTGAAATCAAATATGGTAAACTAAAAGATCGCTGGCAGCACTGGCGACTGGAAATGGACTCCGGATGGGCCTGTGAGTGCGACTGGAGCTGTCGCTGAGCCTTCGGTTGACAGCTGTCAGTGTCAGTTTACATAATTTATAGATTTCAGCGCATAAAAAAGTCATAAAATTTACAATGTTGCTTTCAACAAAAACACATTCGGGCGATTCTTCTGATGCCTTATTTTTATGAGGCAAGACATCAATTTTCGCACAGCACAGTCTAGCCTGCCTATAGCCACTACACACACACACACACAACTACGCCGGCCCATTTATATTTCTCAATTTTCCATTCTTCGAAGCCGGAGGAAAAGATTGTTTGTATTGCCATTGCCATTGGCATTCGAAATGCTTTTGATTTATTTGTATTTATGTGATTCCTTTCTCATATTCAGCTCCAGCGATAAATTCTCGCACTCAACAAAATACATAAACGATTTATAGTTGCAGAAAGCGGGCCAAACAATAACTAACCAAGCGCAGCGGCAGTGGCAACAATGGATACACAGATACTCGGATACACGGATACACGGATACGGCGACCCAAAAGGAGTTCGGATTGAAAAGAAGAAAGGATTTCGACGCTAAGTCCCTCAACGCAGCATAAATCTTTAATGGAAACCTTTCGCACATTTAGCTGCTGTATGAAATTAAGCCATGGAATTTATAATGGAATAGTCGAAATATCATGGTTCTTCTCACAGCTATCTTTTTAGATCTAAATATCAAGAACAATTTCTTCTTTAAATAATTGTTTTAAGATATAGGTAGTATTACACTGAGTTATAAGCTTAGCATAAAAATTGAATACCATTTTTTATGTAAATAAAATATTATTTAAGTTTCCTAAAAGTTTAATTATTTTACCAAGTCTATCAATTTAAACATGGAATTGCATAAATATATGAAATGTTAAAAAAATAAAGTCAAAAAAGAGTGACTCCGTTTTATTACTGCAAAAGGGAGAACTTAATAACCCAACTTTTTGTATAACAATTTAAAATAACACTAATAAATTTGTTATTATGCAAATGGAAAATAAAAGTTTTTTAAAAAATTGGTGTATTACAAAAATCAAAACATACTCATGGTCAATACCTTTCACAAAAAAAAATATGGGCCATGTGCTCTAAGATGTATTCTTTTTAACAAAAATGGAAAAAAAAACACTTTTATATCATGTTTCATGTCCTATTGGACAAACATTTTAAAAATGACTTTAATCAAATAAATTTATTGATCAAAATAAGAAAATAAATATTATCTTATCATTATAATCCAATCTTACTCACTATTATTTAACTTATAGTTCCTTACTTTGGAACCCTAAAACGAATTCAAGTTGGCGGGGAATTTACAGTAAGCCTTCACAGGTCCAAAAGTATATAACCCTAACCAGTCGAGTAGAAAAGTCGTCAAGCAAGCGCATTTCTTAGAATTGGAGATTTAGGAATAAGAATTTGAATCAGTAAGTTAGTTGGAGACTTCCCTGCACTCCACACTTACCCCATTTGGCTTTTCAGACTCGTATTCGAAATGCCTGAGGAAGTTGCTGAAAAGGATAGGCCGGCGTACTCATTCTTCTTCGGATCGATGGGGGCGGCATCGGCCATCATCTTTTCGGCCCTGGGAGCGGCCTACGGAACGGCCAAGTCGGGCACAGGAATCGCAGCCATGGCCGTGATGCGACCCGAACTGATCATGAAGTCGATCATTCCGGTGGTGATGGCCGGCATTATAGCCATCTACGGGCTGGTGGTCTCGGTCCTGATTGCCGGATCACTGTCGGACAACTATACCATTCGCAAGGGCTACATCCACCTGGCCGCCGGACTCTCCGTGGGATTCGCCGGACTGGCGGCGGGCTTTGCCATTGGCATCGTCGGAGACGCCGGGGTGAGGGGCACCGCGCAGCAGCCACGCCTCTTCGTGGGCATGATCCTGATCCTGATCTTTGCCGAGGTCCTGGGTCTCTATGGTCTCATCGTCGCCATTTACCTGTACACCAAGTAAAGTCGGCGTAATTTACAAATTAAAAACAACTCATTTTTAAGCCAGCATTGCTAGAAAATGGTTTACGAAAAATAAAATAGAATCTATTACACATTACACATACCATATTATACTATTCTTTACTAAAAATCATTGTGGGACAAACAGAGAAAAGCTAAAAATAAGTGGTTTTCGATGGTACTATTTAAAATTAGGCAGGGACCCCAAATAAGAAATGTTTGCTTAAAACAAGAAAGGAAGTTAACTTCGGCAAGACGAAGTTTGAATACCCTTGCAGTTATAATTATTAATTTTAATCTAAAATTCTTAAAAAAACAAAAAACTATATTCCCAATAGTATAAGATAATATGGCAAAAAACACCGAAGCTATAATTTGTTTCATATTATTTTCCCATCTATTCCTATGGGAGCGATAAGATATAGTGGTCCGATCCGGCTTGTTCCGACTTGTATACTACCTGCAAAAGAAAGAGGACTTTTGGGAAAGTTTCAGCCCGATAGCTTTAAAACTGAGAGACTAGTTTGCGTAGAAACGGACGGACAGACGGACTTGGCTAGATCGACTCGTCTAGTCATGCTGATCAAGAATATATATACTTTATGGGGTCGAAAACGTCTCCTTCACTGCGTTTCAAATATACATACGAGTATATATTATATTTCCCTATTCCGCGAATGTGGATCCTAAGCGAATGTTCTTTGATTAAAAAAACAGAACATAAATCATTAACTACAGTCCCTGACAAAACTCGCCTGTTTTGGTTAAAGAAATAAATCAAACTTGAATAGAGTTTTTCTGATTAAAGAAATAAATCAAATTCGAATTGAATTTTGGACTTAAAGCCAAAATAATTTTTTTCCCAAAGGGACTTTCGAAAACATCCGTCCCTTTATTATTAATAAATAAAACCGGTTTAAAAATTAATTAGTTAAGACTGTGTGAATATAAATAGTGACACATACAATTAAGCAAAGCCATAAATAGTTAATAGAACTTTTGAAAATATCCCGACTGCAACATACCTGCGTTCTTTCCAAGGAGCAATCAAGAATCTAATCTTCCCCACTCGCGACTCACAAAAGCCGCCTGTGACAAATCTGTGCCAACTTAACAATCACATCACACGAAGGCAAAGCCACTGACAAAGTTACAAGCTCCCCCGAGGAATATGCGGAATATGTATTCAAAATGCAAAGCAGCCGAGCTGGGGCCACAAATAAAAACGCCATGGCGAAAAGGGGGGCACTTGAGGCCCCAGCACCGCAAACAATTCCGTCCTTTCCCCTCGGCGGTGGCAACAAATTTCCATTTTAAGGAAACGAAACAGCATTGCTGAGGTGGGGACTTTCCAAAGTGTCGCCTTTTTGAGCTCGATAGTCGAGTCGGGCTCATATTTTCCAATTTGTTTAATTGAAACAAGTGGAGGGTAACGGAAAAAGCGCTGAAAGCCAATGGGGAAAACCACTCAAAGTGAATAAGCAACCGCAGCTTCGATTTTCAATACCAAGAACGCTTTTTGCGGTCCTTCGAGGTTATAAATTTCCAGTTACCCATCGTAGGCAAGAAAAACGTGCACAAATGTAGAAATCCTATCTTAACAAAATTCGTTGTAAAAGAAGCATAAGTTTAACAAAACAATCTAAGAGCAGGATTCGTAATTTTCAAAAAAAAAGCTAAAAAGTTGTGAGCTTCCTGTTTCTCGAGTCCATTCAAACTTGTCGTTAGCGCCAATCGGTATTCTTCCTTAATTTATCCGATCAAAAGCTTTGACATGATGTTGTTACTCACAGAATTTCTTCTTAGTAACCTTAGAGAGTTAACATGGCGCTTAAGAAAATAAAATTTCCTTAACAGGAACTTTATCTGCCAGTAAGCCGAAACTCAAGGAACTGGCCCCTCAAACGATATTTGTAGATATTAAATGACTTTTTTCGTTTTAATCAAGGTATAAGGAATTTTGTATATCACAAACAAGTTTAAGTATGATCGTTAAAGCCGTAAGAATAGTATTATTCGTTACACAATTTTTCAATTTAAGTAGAGGAATCAAAAGTATTTTTTACATTTACATCGAACTTATACTGGACAAGGTATTATTAAATACTTTTTAAAAATTTTATAAGAGGTGGTATTCCTTGAAGAAAATAAGAAATCCAGGAGTTAGAGGAAAACCTTCAATCATTTTTTTTCTTGTTATTTGAATTATCTCTTTAAAGAAGGGGTTTTAGTCAAAGAAAGCGTTGGCATTTCCTTCAATCCTTCCTGGAAATTAAATATTGTTGGAGATCTTCGATTCGAATAAGGCAAGATGGTTACGGCTGCATCAGAGGAAGAAGCACCCTACGCAATATTCTTAGGATGTTTGGGGGCTGCAATCGCGATTATTTTCACAACTCTTGGAGCTTCTTACGGAACAGCAGTCTCCGGGATTGGAATTGCCAGTATGGCAGTGAATCGACCCGAAATGATCATGAAGTCCATTATACCGGTCGTTATGGCCGGGATCATTGCGATCTACGGCTTAGTGGTTGCGGTCCTCATAGCAGGATCCATCGGCGATGAGTACACGGTACAAGCGAGCTATGCGCATCTGGGAGCGGGTTTGTCCGTAGGATTGCCTGGACTTACAGCCGGAATAGCCATCGGAATCGCAGGGGACGCCGGAGTCCGGGGAACCGCCGAACAGCCGCGCCTCTTTGTGGGCATGATCCTGATCCTGATCTTCGCCGAGGTGCTGGCCCTATACGGCCTCATCGTGGCCATATATTTGTACACCAAACTTTAAGGTGATTGAATTGTTGTTGAATTGTTCTTACCATATTGAATCATTCAACCGCTCTTTTCACGAGTAAAAAAAATATAAATAAAATATATAACATATTTTAACTTATAAAAAAAGTAAGATATACTTTTTAAGTTATCATGCATTCTAATGAAGTGAATTAAACTATCTACTCCAAAAAAAAGACTATAAATAAATAATATTAATTAATTTTATTGATTCATGGCGTTTTCAAGACTCTATACGAAATTCTTTTACACTTTAGTCATTTTGGTTCTGTGTTAATTGAAGCGAACCATGTCCATTCCATCAAAGAGCAACAAAACCAATACGGTGGGGAAGAAATAAAAACCAATTTCTGCCAAAAGGTGTTGATATGTAAAAAGGTATGCGTTTCAATTTACATTTCATTCGCAGGCAAATAATACGTTTTGTGTACGCACGTGTGACATTTTTGCCAACTCTCTTCGATTCCGAGTGTGTTTGCATAATAAATATGATAACACAAAGTATCGATCCGATTCAACCGCAAATCCCTTGAGCCCCAGACATCGAAAGTAATAAACGAAAATTTGCAATTTACTTACGGATTCGGAGGATTTATGGTTCACCTTCCTGCAGATAATTGTTTTCACTTTCTCAGCCATTCAATGAACTTTTAATGCTGAAATAACAGTGAATGCGTGAGGAATGGGTGTGTGGGTGGTCTTAAGACCCAAAAGCGGAAGCAGTACCGCCCCCTCCAAGAACCCGCCCACTTTCCATCGACCAACTGACAAAGTGCTTAGCGAAATGGGTTTATTAAGTGCAAACACTTTGCGCAAATGGCTGGCAAACATAAATAAATATGTACTCGGAAAGTAATGTTCGGAAGGAGGGATAAGTCTAAAAATCATCTTTATATAAGATATAGAATTTAAAATTGAATTGAAGTTTTAACTATTATAGTATCTATCTTTTTCCATAGCTACAAGTATTTTATACCATAAAATATTTAATATCCGTATTCAACACCAAGTTCGGAGAACCTTTTTGAAGTTTTAACTGCTAAAGTATAATTCTTTCTCCATAACTGAAAGTATTTTATACAATAAAGTATTTAAAATCCGTATTCAATACCAAGTTCGGAGTTCCTTTTTGAAGTTTTAACTGCTAAAGTATCATTCTTTCCCCATGTCTTCAATTAACTCCCCAAAAAGAAACCAAATATTCAATAAATAAAAAAGAGACTTTTATTTATTTGAGTAATGGTAAAAGGAAACCGAATCAGTCTTATACAAATGTGGCATGACCTCCACTGAAATCAAATATAAATCAAGTAGCGGTTTGTCAAATCCGCAGACCTGCCCAAAAGCTGTCCTGTCATAGATCAAATGTACATCAATGTGAGGGACTTTTGTTTGCAGGAAGTTGGGGAAACCATTTGTAAGCTGGTGCGGGTTATGCTTGAGGGGCTACGATTTGTTATTGCCGAAAATGTGGTTTCCATTAAAGCCTCACACATCAATTGTGGCCGGCGGGCGAAATGACCAAAGGCCATTCGACTTTAATTTTAATGTCCCTGGCAGATTTTCCCATTTCCCTCCCATTTCGCATCTTTATTCATTCAGACATTCAGCCATTCAAGTCAACACTCATTGAACAACTTGCTCGTTGTCAGACGTTTTGCCATCCCATCATCATTGTGATCAGTTTTATATGATGCTGAGCCTTAATGTGGCTTATTTGAAATAGTAATATTGCTTTTAGCAAACCATTTATTTCAGAATTTATTTTGATATTTAAGTTTAATTAGGCATTCCGCCCAGAAGAAATTTTATTAAAACGCTAAAAATAATTTCATACTATCCATCTTACAAAAGGCAATTATTCCAATGTGCGTGGGCAAGGTCTTTTACAAATCTTCTTTTCTAAGAGTAACTAAGATTCGACTTCTTAGGGACATTTGCCCACACAATGGACTAATTTCATTTTCGTATTTCTGTGGCTGAGTATCCAATGATTTGGAAACAATTTATATATTGTGTATATGGCTGGGGCTCGGAACTGGAACTGGGATGGTTATATTATGCTGTGCCGCAAGGACATTTATTTCTGCTGATTTCATTTTCGGATTCCGAGCGACCCCAACCGCTGCTCTCAATAAATACGAAATAAACACTAAATGTGTAGTTGGTTGCCTTCGCATTTTCGCCCTTCCTCTTTTTCCTCCCTATATATATATATATATATATTTATTTTTTTCTGCTGATTGAAGCTTTTCCTGTTGGCAACACCTCAGAGGGCTGACTTTTGTCCTTTGCCCATGGCATGTTTGTCCTTTGCCTTTCCGATTCCACGCCCCCGAATTCCGAATACTGAATCCTGACTCCTGAGTCCTGAATCCCGAGTCCTGAGTTCTGAGTCCTGGGGCCCACTCCCATTGCCAATTCCATTCCCTTTCCATTCATCAGCGCGTGCTTGTGTTGTGTTGTTTCCTTTGCATTGAATTATTTTCCTCCTGTCTCTTTGGCGTCGCACAATTTCCCCCACTCTGGCTTTCTCCTGACCTCTGACCCCGTCCGACTCAGTTTTCATATCTGTCGCTTTTCCGGGCGTGTTGAGGCGATGTGTTAAATATCTGCCAAATGAAATCGCGATGGCAACGATGGCAGGTGGGCGTTGGGCCTACTTCGGCTCAAGAAGCTAGACATGTGTCGGATATCTCAGAAGTAATTCAAAAACTTAAGGTCAAATGTAAGTGGTAGTTAGGGGAAAACAAACCTAACAACCTTTATATTAAAAAAGCTTTTTCTAGCCTGGTTCCGTTATAAACATTTAAATTACATTTCCATATCCTCTTATTATAGTATTTATCTGTTAACTTGTTATAAAGCAAAAAAACTAAATTAAAAACAAGGAAGAACGCTATAGTCGAGTACCTCGACTATCAGATACCCGTTACTCAGCTATATGGAGATATGCAAGCAGCAAAGCGAGATTAAAATGCGCCACCTACCGGCGGTATACAGATTTAAGCGTTATGGGCGTTAGAGTGGGCGTGGCAAATTTTTTTTTGGATCAATCGATAGGTATCGACGAGACCAATACATTTCAGTTAAAATTTTTTATCTAGCATGAAAATTGTGGGCGTCACAGGTTTTCGCGGTTTGTGGGCGTTAAAGTGGGCGTGGCAAACTTTTTTTTGGGTCAATCGATAGGTATTGATGAGAACAATACATTTCAGTTAAAATTTTTATTCTAGCATCAAAACTGTAGGAGCCACAGTTTTGGGCGGTTTGTGGGCGTTAGAGTGGGCGTGGCACTGTGCTGAAACAAACTTGCGCTGCGCAGGAATCTCAGGAATCTGCGTGCCTAATCCCAGTATTGTAACTCTCATAGTTTCCGAGATCTCAGCGTTCATACGGACAGACGGACAGACGGACAGACGGACATGGCTAGATCGACTCGGCTAGTGATCCTGATCAAGAATATATATACTTTGTGGGGTCGGAAACGCTTCCTTCTGCCTGTTACATACTTTCCGACGAATCTAGTATACCCTTTTACTCTACGAATAACGGGTATAATTAATTATTAAAGAGGCAAAAGCCCTTTTAATGAACTTTACATTTTTCTTGTCATTTTTCCGAGCTGCAAAAATGTTACTTTATAATTTATTACTAAGTCAAAAAGATTTCAGTTTCTTTTGTTAAAGACTTAAGGAATTTTGTTTTGTCCCAGAGTTGTTTTACAATGGAAAAGGTCAACGAAATGGCCAGACCGAAATAATATCAGAAAAAGAGAAAAGTTGAAAGAATGCTTCAAAACGAGCAACTCAGAGCGATTTACAGTGTTGTAAGATTCCCTTTTTTCTATGAGAATAAAAGAAGTTAAAATCATACAGAAATTTAAAAATGATAGGTTCTTAACTTTAAAAAACTGACTTAGGCACTCTATTAATTTTCTTTTTTGTAGAAATAACAGCTTTTTAAAGAAATATTTTATAAGAAAAATATTTGTTATAAGAAAACCTGTGTAGAATCTAGAAATCCAGTGTTATTAACTAAATTTTGAACTATGTGTTTTAAGTTAAGTTGAATGTTATTCATCACAGCTGTTTTCACTTTTTCATGGTATAGTAAAACCCATATGGAGCTGAATTTGCAGTCAGTAAGGACTGTGGGTGCGTTTCAATCCCAGACAATTCGCTCAAAATCAAATTTATTTGCCAACCACCCAGAAATTATGAGACGGCAGCAGGAGGGAGCCTCACATGTGCGTTTTATTGCATTCGGTATGCGTTCCAATTGCGTGGCTCCCCGAATGGAGAACCCCAAAACCCCGTATACCGTATCCCGAATCCCGAACCCCGATCCACTTGCCACCCCCTCTATAACTATTAAGGTTGTCAACGCCCCACAATCCCCGGCAGACAATGGGTGGATGGCTTTGGTACGTTCGAGTATTTTTATTCATTCTATTCCGTTGGTTTTTTATTTTATTTATTTATTTCGCTCGCCTCTTGTCCACCCTCCGAAGCATTTGAACAAAAATAAGATTTTTATTTTATGCTCGCAGTATGTTGTAAATCTTGTCGCTGCTGCTGATGAAACGAAACGAAATTAAGAATTTTTTTTATTTCTCCTTCGCAATTTCAGTAATAAAAGAAATGCCAACCGGGATGACGGCAAGGACACGACAGGATAGGACAGTACAGTACAGGATGGGAGGAAGGCGGTGGGTGGTGCGTGGGTTTCTAGGAGGGGCGAATGCCTTCCCGCCCATCCCGACATTCATTATGAAATCATTTGGTATTTATTATTTCGTTTATGTGGTTCCATTTGAGATATTGCCTTCATTTGCCGCGTTGTTAGTGGCGACCGTTGCGGAAGCTGCCAGCAGGAATCGCAAGTGGAGCTTCCGAAATTTCAAGTCCTTAAAGATATTAGGAAAGTTATTAGAAGTGGATATCAAAATCAAATCCTAGAAATTATTGTTTTATATTAAAATAAGTCTGTTAA